AAACAAGAGAATAACATCAAACAGGACGGTAAAACATTCTATCAAGTAACATAAAAAGATGTACGAAAATTCTGATGGATTTGCTGTTAATCTTGAAGAAGTATGTATTCTAACAGATACACATTATATTCTTATTAATAAAATGTATTCATTTCCTAGCAATCTCGATCGTTTTCTCGTGTGAATAGTGTTATTCTGTCTCAACAAGCAAGTCGATTTTGGTTACCATTTGATGTTAAAGTTTTTGAAAGTAAAATACTTTTTTTTCGAAATAAATATATCTAAATAAAATTTTTTCTAATAGAACTTACACCAAGAGAATATTTGGAAAAATTTTGTAAAGTAAATAATCGTCGACATGTATTGTACAAACGTACTTTTGACAAACATAAAGATAATGAAGGAGAATTACCTTTTAAGGTAACATAAGAACTAACAACTGTTACTTTTATTCTGTAACATATATACATATTTTTTAGTTCCTTGAAGAAGCATTAGCTGATGCATATATGCATACAATTGATATGACTTATATTACACAAGTTATTGGTTTACTTGATTTACCATCAAATACAAAAATAACTTTTTCAGAATTTGTAGGCATTGCTGCATTTTCTGAAAGATTTTTTTTTAATATTTTTACGTAAGTTTTTTTTTCTAGTATTGAAGTTATTTTTATTTAATTTAATTAGTCGACAAGATAATACTGAACCACAATTACAAAAAGAAGTTTTAGAAAAACTTGATTTTTCTTCATTAAATTGGAAATTAGCTGGTGTTAATATTTCACCATCGTTACGAACAATTCTACGACAAATTTAAATTTTATTTTTAAATAAATAATGATTGTATTTTAAAAGTTAAACTTAGTATTACAGAATGATTCTTGATTAAATAAATTACCACAAGTTTTGAATAGAAAGCGAGGAAACAATACACTATATTATATATCACTGTACCACACATTTCAATAGAAACAAATCATAGTTTCTAATAAAATGAATGCTTTTGGAGTAAAACGAACTTCTTAGTTCGATTTGTTGGTTCTAATTAAGTTATTTCACATTGTTTTAAATAGATTCAATTACATAAACATTATTACAAATGATCGGGAAGCTATGAGCAACTCATTATGTTGAATATCTCATAAGATTCTGTTTGACATTCACATAAAATAATTAATTTAAATTCGAATGTGATTTATTTGAATGAAATATACTTTTTAAACTGATTTTTTTCTTTATAAATCATTGTTTCTATACAAAAACAGTTTTGACTTAATATTTGGTCTTTAAAAAAAAACCTTGAAACAAAAAGTATTTTTATGACTAATGGCATTCTCATCTACGAAAGGAATGAAAAGAACATTTGTTAGAATATACTTAAAATAATGTAAGCAGTAAACATCTAGTATATATGCTTGTCTCATAACAATTTGAGGAGAGAGAACACAAGTGATAGATCTGAGTGGAGATAAGTGAGTATACCATGCAAATGAGTATGTGACAATGCATTATAGAGCTATTTCTGTTATTCGAATATACTTAGAATGATATTAAAATTTCATCTTAATTTAATCGAAATCAAAGCATATATATGACATTTTCTTTTCCAAAATATTAAGTCAGTCTATGAATTGTGGATATCCATAATACAATTCAAGCAGATGGTAACATTTATTTATTTAGAAATTTCTATTCACTTATAATTGAAAACAATCCTTAATCATATTGATGAAAATATCCGCAGAATATTCCAAATAATTCTATTAAGAAAAAAACTGAATTTTTCTTATTAAAATATTTAACTGCCTCTAGAATATCTTCAAGGTTATACTCTAAATAGATATCTATTTAGTAAAGAATAAAACTTCTCCGGCATTCTATTCTTTTATCTAAATATAACTTATTAATATTGTATATATGTTTAGTATTACGGTTTTAGGCATCAGTCTCAGATCTTTCTAAAATTCATTTGACCTTTAAATGAACAATATTTTATTTTAAGATTTCTCATACATAATATTTAGAACGATCACGTAAAGTATAGACAGTTAAAGCAACAAATATAGATCGACTAATGATAATATTAGAAAATACCTTTTTTACATTTATATTTTGATCAGAATATTATATATGAATCTTTTTATTTGCATATGATATTAAATATTAACATACATGCATTGTTTTTTCTCATTCTAATAAATATATCTAATTAATTTTTATGAAATCTACAATTTTCAAAAATAATATTCAAATGAATCATCAAACTAAAAATCTTCAAACTATTCGAGAACATTTCTTTTTATTCTTTCGATTTTGTTGACAAACGAAAAGATATGACACATAAAAGATAAACATTTTTAAACGATACAGAATAATATAAATATATATATATATATATGTGGCGAAAAACTAATAAAATCGCACATATGTCCGATGAAACGACAAAGGCCGATGTTAATCTTGTACGATTGCCTAGTATAGATGAACAACATGATCGTCAAGTAATTCTAAACACAAGTCCATCGATAATAAGTTTTGAAACTGTTAATTTACCAAAAAGTATTCTTGATATTCTCGATGATGTATATTCAAATCGAAGTCATCAACGATGTATTCATATAAGTTATTTTACATTACTTTCAATGACATTAACAGTAATTTTTTGGATATCTTATTGGTTGACCTATAATCGTTGTCAAAATTTAAAAGATCCTCAACCAAATTCATTTCTCTGTGATCTTGTTCTTATATTTGAAGTCTTAACATTTACATTAATTAGTATTACACCTGTATTATTTATATTTATGATTCATTCATGGATAATTTACTCTTGTTATAATCCATTTGATTCTATTCGAGATAATTTTATTGGATTTAAAATTGAAGGAGAACAATGGAAACAACAATTAGATTATTATTATCAACGAAAAAAAACAAGATATTTAAATTGTTTCCGATGTAAACAACGTAAAGAATTAAATGATCGAGGTCATGGTTATATTATTTTATCAACACATGGAATTGTTATTGATGAATTAATAATGTTCAATGATCAAAAGAATATTATTGATAAAGGGATACTTTTAGATAATGGAAAAATATTAAAATTAACTTTTAAAAGAACTTGTAAACGACCTTGGAAAACTTATATTGAAATTTATCTTACCGATGATTTAATTAATAGACGTACGATGGAAGAACTTATGGAATCATTAAAAATACAAATTAATATTGACGCGATTCTTCCACCATGTTTTTAAAAATATTTATATTCAGTTTTTGATCTATTTTTCTATTGCAGAATAATAAATTCCCACAAGTTCTTAAAGTTTATCAAAACATAAAATTTCTATTTTCATAGCAATTTATATTACCGACAATTGTATACTTATCACCTTTTTGTGTTAATAGATTCTTAAGTTTTGTTATTTCCGTTAAAAAATTGAGTCTATTTACAATTTATTCAAGACTATAAAGAGTGTAAAACAATCATTTCATTAAGTATGCATGATTTCGTCTGATTACTTCCTAGTACATGTTTCTCTTTTCACCTAACAATTAGTTCAAAATCCTACTATTATTAAAATCATTAGATTGATTACAGTTGAAAAACATTGCCAAGGAAAGTGCGTGATGAACAATTTCGAAAAAGTACTATCTCAGGTAAAATAGATATATTATTGATGTCTGTTTTCTATCACTATATAATATTAATTAATATTTTCTCCCTTTCAAAAAAAAATAATCTAAGAAAATATAAAATTATATATACTTTGTTTGTTTTTTCATCTATCCTATTAAAAAAAAGATCATGAAATTACCATAAGTTATTACGAACATAATATTGTCCTGATCGTTGTGCTAGACTGTTTTGTCGGAAAGAGTTTGTTTTATTCTTTTCTAACAATGGAAGTATGATGTGTTGTTATTGAATATAAAAATATGTTTATTTGATGTAAAATAGATCTGATGAAATCATATTTCAAACAAATAATATCTTATAAATAGCGCATATAGTTTTCTTTTTTCCCGTTAAGTATTTCCTTTTAGGTCTCACGCTATTTGTATTTTTTGAATAGTTTTGCCATTCTATTTTTCCTCGTTTCTCTTTTTTCCTTCTCGACCTCGTTATTTTTTCATACGAGCAGCTAGTTCAATTAGCTTTTGCTTTTCTATAACAACATATTTCAAGAGAAATAAATGAGATAGAAAGTAAAATCAATAGATTTTCCCTTCTCGCTACCTTTTTCTTTTTTCTTTATTAAACAAGCAGAAAGAATAGGTAAAAAAACTAAAAATATCGCCTAAGAACACGTCTTAATTTACATCGGAAGTGGGTTGCACGTCTATTCAAGGAAGGATGAACTTATTATTATATTCCATGTTAGTCCTTATTTTCTTTGAATAACAACTGATAAATAAAAAGTAAGATATATATATATATATTGATTAGACTAATTGTGTTTAGAAAAAAAAGGTTTTTTTTTGAGTAAATATTTCATTGTTTATTTGTTTATTAGCTCTTTTGACATTTTGTATACCGGAAATATTATTCTATACATATATTGAATAATTTTAGTCATATTCAATAAATCAAATAATTGAACATCTAGAAAATATGACAAAAAATGAAAATATAACAAGAATATTTATTGAACAACCTTCATACGATGCATATGATGATAATAAAGATATTATATGGCCAACAGTTGTTGGTATTTTTGTTGCATTAGCATTAGGTTGGATGATATGTCGTTATAAATGTTCATCGAAAGAAAGATCTCCACATATTGTTCGATGTTGTCCAAAAACATTATGTAAAAATATAAGATTATGTTGTATGTGTATATTTAGGTAAGAATTTGATTTTAATATGAATTATATTAAATATAAAAATAAATTATTTTCTAGGATAAAACAAAAACAAAAACCAACTTCAGATTTTGGAATATCAACAATTAATAAACCGAGGTAAACTATTCAATTTATTGTTTTTATTAAGATTTAATATTTATTTATTAAAAGAGCATCATCTGGTAGTAGTTTACAGGAAACTCCATTTCTTGGTTATAATACTTCAATAAATCGATTATCTTTAGCACGAGTATCTCAACAATGGCCTCCACCTTTTATACTTAATCAATCTCCTTCTTTCCCATTAACAATAGCAGTTTCATCAACAATTCCACCAACATCCGAACCAAAAAGACATCCATTACGACGTGAATCAACTCTACCGGAAAATTCTAATGGAAGACGAGAATCATCATTATGGCCATTTCGTACAATTAATGCAGTATTTCATAAACAAACTAGTGAAATTAAAGAAAATGATCTTTTTTTCAGTGCATAAACATATCATATTTATTTATGTATTTCTTCCTATTCTTCTTTTTTTGTATAATAATTTATTTAATATATTTACTGATGAATACAGAGGTAATTTATATATAAACACTTAAACATTCATACAAGTATATAAAATAGTGAATATAGACATTATTTTTACCTTGAGAATAAAATCATGTATAATAATAGAATTCGAAGGTCAATTATAAATTGTCGTCTCTTTCGAATATTTTTTTCTAAATAGAATTAAGTCTAAATAAATAATTAAAGTTTATCTCATTAATTATTTAAAAATACAAATGAATTTTTTTGTAAATTAAATTATAAAAGAAAAAAATATGTATAGATATTTTTTGTTTAATTTAAAATCAGACACATGTTTTTTTTTGATCAGTCGTATAATTAAGAAGATTGTGTAATGATAGAGCTATTATATACTATAATTAATCAAAACAAATGCGAGAGATTTACAATCAACAGCTTCGTTCTTTCCGAGTTATGTAATCAACTAGTAAAGGTTAAACTATCTCATCTTTGAATGAAACTTCCCTTAATGAAAAGATCAAGAGATATATCTTTTACAATAAAAATCAGTTGATAGTGGGCGCTAGTTTATGATAAGATTAAAAATGAATGAATATTAACTTTTTCTATATTATCGTGATCTTACTTTTGTTATATTATTTGAAACTAAAATTCTAATTTATACATCAATAGATGATTTTGATTAATAATTGTATTGATTCGTATTTGACCAATTATATTAAAAAGAATAGTAAATATGACATTGAAAGAAGAAGCGTATTTTGCTTTCTTTTATTTATTTATTGACATTGAATTTATCAAAAAAAAAAAAAATTGTAGATCTGATATGCATAAACATGAACAATGATAAATGATGATCAAGTAAATAAATAAAAT